TGTGAACTTGATGTATTTATCCACAGAGTTGATGTGGTCAGTAAAATGTTGGACTTCCTGAGATTTGATTTTAACCCAGGTGTCGTCAACGTACCTGAACCAATGACTTGGTGGTGTCCCTGAAAAGGACGTCAAGGCTCTCTTTTCTACTGCCTCCATGTACAGGTTGGCAACAATCGTAGAAACTGGAGACCCCATAGCACACCCATGTTTCTGCCTATAATATTGCTCCCCATATGTGAAGTAGGTTCACTGCAGGCACAGTTTCAAGAGTTGACACAGTTGTCCTGTGGAAAGTGTGGTCCTGCTTCTCAGAGTGGTGTCTGATTTTAATCTTAAACTTACCACCTCTACTGCATCATCAACAGGAATGCACGTAAAGAGTGATGTGACATCAAAAGAGACCATTGTTTCATCAGTCTCCATGATGACATCCCTCACCTTATCCACAAAGTCCATGGTGTTCTGTATGTGGTGTTCTGAGCTGCAAACTAAAGGGATGAGTACAGAAGCCAGATATTTGGAAACATTGTAAGTGACAGAGTTAATCATGCTAACAATAGATCTTAAAGGTACACCTTGTTTGTGGATTTTAGGTAAACCATACAGAATAGGTGTGGCCTCCCCTGGGTACTGTCTGTGGTACAGAAAACGATCAATAGCCTTGTCCTGCTCCAAAATTTTCAGGCAATCTATCAATTTCTTCTTGTAACCACTTCCTGGATCTCTCTTCAGAGGTTCATAAGTGTTTAAGTCACTAAGGAGTGTCATAACTTTCTCATGCTAGTCTTTCTGGTTCAAAATCACTGTGCACCTTCCTTTGTCTGCTGGGAGAATGATGATGTTTTTGTCCTTGCTAAGAGTTGTGAGTGCATCCCTCTCCTCTCTACTGATGTTGGAAGGTGGTGGTTTGGCATTACTGAGGCAGGCTGAAACTTTGATTCTGAGCTGTTCTGCTTCAGCCTCTTTAATTTTGTTGTTGCGGATGGCTGAATCAGTGGCTGTGATCATCTCCACCAGAGGAATTCTACTTGGTGCAACCGCAAAGTTCAGTCCCCTGGCAAGAATCTCTGTCTCTGTCTGGGTGAGCTGTCTGTCAGATAAATTCTTCAACCACTTTTCTGTCTCCCTGGCATGTGATTGTACATGTAAATGTACATGGAGGAGGTAGAAAAGAGCCTTGACGTCCTTTTCAGGGACACCACCAAGTCATTGGTTCAGGTATGTTGACGACACCTGGGTTAAAATTAAATCTCAGGAAGTCCAACATTTTATTGACCACATCAACTCTGTGGATAAATACATCAAGTTCACACGAGAAGATGTAAAAAATGGCAGGTTGGCTTTCTTGGACTGTGAGGTCTCAGTCTCTAATAGAAGACATTTGCAAACCGAGGTATACCGCAAACCCACCCACACAGACCAGTATTTGCAGTTTGACTTCAGAACCGGTTCAGAACCGGTCCGCCTGGTGGAAGGACAGCTTCTTCTTCTTTCAGGAAAAAATAATCTCAGTTGGTTGTTTTGTAACCAAAGTAAACACAAACTAACATTATTAAGAACGTTGATTTACCTGCTGTAAAACAGCTACTGATTATCACGGAGAAAAGTCCAACATCGTCGACTCGGTTCTGGTCCACTCAGCGACCGGTGTGGAGCTGTTAGACGAAGCGGTCCCGCTTGGCGTCAAATCTGTCGACTTTCATCCAAAATCCAGCTTTAACTTGTTGTTACGTTACGTTGTTGTTAGCTGGTTAGCCCAGAGGAAAACAGTGTGCCGAGGCAGCACGCATGCGCATTAGGTGAAGGTACAAAATTCACAGCGCCATCTAATGACCCGGCATGGTAACTACAGCAGATTCGGGAGGGCAGGGGGGGAATCCTCTGGATGCATGTAAACCCAAAATGCGACCGTGTCAACGCAAATCTTTTCTTCTAATTAACATACGAAAAAAACTACGTTTCCCCCATCGTGTCCGTGTAAATAGGGCCTAAATGACACGTTTTTATTCCGAACGGCTGTTTGATCCGATAACTTATGTCCATGTAAACATAGCTAATGAAGAGCATTCTCACATAGGTGCTTCCTTCTTCAAATGGTTGAGGGAGGTGTGAACTGCTAAAGCAACGGCATCATCTGTAGACCTGTTTGCTCTGTGAACTGTAGGGGGTCCAGGGTGTCAGGAGGGAGGCACAGATGTGAGTCTTGATAGTGAGTCTTGGGGGCTGTGTGGATGGGTAAAAGAGGACACAGATTGTAGTGTAAGCGCTTTGAGTATCTTGAAATATGATTGAAAGGCGCTATATAAGTGCAGTCCATTTACCATTTGTCAGCCGCTCTCAATCTGCCCTGCTCAGTTTGCCCGTCTAGGAGGAGGGGTAGACTGAGCGCGGCTGACCGAAATAAGACTGCCTGCTTCGGACTGAATGAGAAGAACACACCATTGAAGCCACGGAGCTCGAATGTTTACAGAGAAGTTGCTAAACTTCATCGTAATTAATGACCAACCTCTATCTGTTGTAGAAAACAAAGGATTTTGCAGCTTGATTGAATACTTGTACTTGCCCAATAGAGATGTTACATCCTCGTATAAAATCAATAACGATGATGATATGGAACAGTATCAGCCGATATCTAGATTTAGGTATCGGGATTGGATCGCAAGTAAAAAAAAAAAAGACAAGTGGATTGGTGCATCCCTCGTTCATTGTTAATCATTTCAGTTAGCTGTTTAACATTGTTCTTTTAGTGATTAGTCTGTTCTTGTTAGCCTAGTTTATGTGTTCATTAAGTGTTAGTTTGTGTTAGGCCATTCAGTAGAGTAACCACGAGTGAGGGAGGTAGTTGTCATGAAGACCTGCAGGCTTCAAGAGTGAAACACAACTCTGTTCAACACACAGACAGAGGTCTGTGTGTTTAACAGGAATAGTCTATAAAACACCATCTGGTGGTTGATTCTTGATCTAAAACAAGAGCTATACATCGCTTTCAGTAGCTCTGTGCTGCCACTCATGTTACAACGTGAACACCCACAGTTTATATATACACAAATTATTATTATTTTTTTTCATTTAGTGTGCACAGTTTATATTCCGATGCGCTCTATAATCCAGAAATTACGGTAATTAAAAGTTTTTTTAAATCTTTCTGTGTCAATATTTCATGTTACAACGTGGACACTCGTGACTTATAAACAAGTGAACTCAACAGTCCAAAAAGATGGTAACTGAAAGCACTCAGTGTCCGTGCAGTTTGCAGGAACAGAAATAGACAGATGATCACCAGGTAACACATCTTTCTTGGCTTGACTCTACCTCTTTCTTGGCTTCTTTGTTGGGATCATAGTCGCTGTCATTTGCTTCGATGGGAATGGCATCCTCCATTTCCTCGTCACTATAGCAACAATAAGTTCAGACAGACTAGTTGGAACAACAAGCACCATCATCTAAGTAAAGTTTCATAAAAACAAATCTGATACGAGTTAATGCAAAAAAACTTGTCAAAATACAAAAGTTGTTCCTCCTTGATTTGCCACCTTATTGTGGTAGAGGAGTTTGTGCGCCTGAATGATACTAGGAGCTATGCTGTTGGGGGCAATTATATTTGCCCCTGGTATGATCGTAGGTGACAGGACAGACAAAGAGTAATTCAGAAGACTTTTGATGGACAACACAAATCAAGGAACTCAGTGTCCCTTGCCTGGACATGGTTTAACGGGGCCCCACCCTGGAGCCAGTCCTGGGGGAGGGGCTCTTCGGCAAGCACCTGTTGACCGGGTCTCTACCCATGGGGCCCGGTCAGGCTCAGCCCTAATGAACAACATTGGTTTGCCTTCCTGTGGGCCCACCACATGCAGGAGGGGCCATACAAGTCGGGTGCATGACGACATGGGCAGTGGCCGATGGCGGGGGCCTTGGCGCTCTGGCCCTGACTTACCAAAGCTGGCTCTTGGGACATGGAATGCGACCTCTCTGGCAGGGAAGGAGCCTGAGCTTGTGCGCAAGGTTGAGCAGTACCTACTTATAGCCCTCCAACTTGGTGCCTGTGTGTTGGAGTTTTCCTCAGTAGATGAGAGGGCGGCTTCCCTGTGCCTTCGGGTGGGGTGATGAGCTCTGACTGTTTGTGCCTATGAACCAAATGGCAGATCAGAATATCCGGCCTTCTTGGAGTCCTTGGTGAGAGGGCTGGAAGGTGTGCCAGCTGGGGACTCCTTTATACTGCTGGGGGACTTCAATGCCCATGTGGGTAATGACAGTGTGACCTGGAGGGGAATGATTGGGAGGAACAGCCTCTCTGATCTGAACCTGAGTGGTGTTCTGTTGTTGGACTTCTGTGCTAGTCAATTTGTCCATCATGAACACCATGTTCAAACATAAGGGTGTCCATAGATGGACTTGGCACCAGGAAGTCCTAGGTCATAGATCGATGATAAACTTTGTAGTCGTGTCATCTGATTTGTGGCCATTTGTTTTGGACACTCGGGTGAAGAGAGGAGCTGAGCTGTCAGCTGATCACCACCTGGTAGTGAGTTGGGCATTGGAGAAAGAACTCAAAGTGGCAGAAATTAAGATGTTGAGGTTCTCTTTAGGAGTGACAAGGATGGATATGATTAGGAATGAGATCATCAGAAGTACAGCACAGGTTGAAGAACTGGAAGATAAAGTTAGAGAGGCCAGACTGAGACGGTTTGGACATGTCCAGAGGATGGACAGTGGGTATATTGCTTGAAGGATGTTAAAAATGCAGCTGCCAGGAAAAAGACAGAGGATGGCCAAAGAGGATGAATTTATGGATGCAGTTAGAGAGGAGTGAGGATGCAGAGGACAGAGTGTGATGGGGGAGGAAGACTCATTGTGGCGGCCCCTGAAGAGGGAAAAGCCAAAAGATGATGTTTTTAGGTGCCGTCTTCTGAGCTTTTCACCAACACTACCTGATTCATAATATTTATTATAAAGCTGTAAACAAAACAACAAACAGAAATTTCCCCAAAGAAACTCTGAAGGGGCCTGCCACAGTGGCAATTTTGAATTATTACTTGTGCTTTATTATGTGTTTAGGATTACTTTCTGCTACTTTCATGCTAAATTTCAGTTCAATGCGTCTAAAAAGTCTGACATAGTTTTTAGTTTGAGCTCTGGCAGCTGTCATAAATAGACATATATTTGTAGCTGTGATACTTTATGATCCTTATATGTATGTGAGCCATCATATTCTGTATCATAGTGATCTGAATGGTGTTATTATATTAGACCTTCTCAAATAGTGGGGTGCGTCACCCTGTGGGGGCTCGGGAAGCAGAAGATAAGCAGAAGAAAATGGATGGATGGATAATCAATAAATAATAATTTATTCAAATTGATCAGCAACATTAACTCAGGAGCACAATACATAAAAAAGACTTTGACCTACAAAACAAAAATGAATAAAATAATTTGTGCTGATTTAAAGGGGGTGTGACAACCATTGGCAAACCATATGGAAGTCCTTTACTCCTCTCGGAGGAGTAAAGGAGGCCATCTTTGTGAAAAGAAATCGTCCATCATTAAACGGGGTGGAGGCCTCCGGGTTCAACTGTCCCCCTCTTACAATGCCGTTATTGCTAGTATCACTCAACCCCCTGTGAATAGTAAACAGCCATCAGTGTGCTAATGATCCATTGTTAGGCTGATGGTCCTTCTTGACCATGTGATCAGCTGGTTTTGGTTGTCAGCAGCAAACTGGTTGATCCACTCTGAGAATGTGCTATTTAAGAGACTGAGCTGAATACAGCTCCTCAGACTGAGGAAGTCTTTCGGATGAGAGACGAAACGTTTCTACATTTTTTTGCTTTTTTTTTTTTTTTTTTTTTTTGAATGTCCAGTGGACCAGATTGAACTTGTTTGGATTTTTCTACCTGGATTATTGAGCATGCATCAGGATATTCTTCAATAGGTTCAGTTCAGGAACAATCTCAGCAGCCTCCTCTCTTGGCCACAGCCAAACAGACATACCACCCTCCTTTGACCCAAGGCTGTCCTGTCACATCTCAAATACTGTATCTACCACCTCAGTCATGGACCCTTCTTCTACATATTGGTCTTCAACCAAATCAGAAGATGCTGATACCTCCTTTGCCTCCCCCGTCTGCGGCTCTAGAAGTCAGGTGAGGAAGCAGCTAGAAAGACTGAACCGGAATAAGGCTGCAGGTCCATATGGTGTCAGTCCCAGAGTCCTGAAGGTCTGTGCAGAGCAGCTCTGTGGGGTTCTGCAGCACCTTTTCAACCTTAGCCTGACCCAGGAGAAGTTTCCAGTGTTGTGGAAAACATCCTGCCTTGTTCCAGTGCCAAAGAAAACTCACTCATCAGTCCTCAATGACTATAGACCTGTTGCCCTGACATCCCACATCATGAAGGTCCTAGAGAGACTTCTGCTGGCCCACCTGACTAAACAAACAAGCACATATCAGGACCCACTGCAGTTTGCTTATCAGCGTAGACTTAAGAGTTGAAGATGCCAGCATACGCCTGCTTCAGCAAACTCACTGTCGCCTAGAAAAGGCAGGCAGCACTGAGAATCATGTTCTTCAATTTCTCCAGTGCATTTAACACAATCCAGCCTGATTTGCTTTGTCAGAAACTTCAGAAGACTCAGGTGGAGGCCTCAACAATCACCTGGATCAAAGATTACCTGACAAACAGACCACAGTTTGTGAGACTGAAGGGTTGTGTGTCTAACCAGGTGGTCAGTAACTCAGGAGCACCACAGGGGACTGTACTCTCGCCATTCCTTTTCACTCTGTACACCTCAAAACAGACTCCTGTCATCTGCAGAAATATTCAGATAACTCTGCAGCGGTTGGGTGTATCAGAGAAGGACAAGAAGCTGTGTACAGGGAACTGGTGGACCACTTTGTGGCATGGTGTGGAAACAATTATCTCATCTTGAATGTGAACAAAACAAAGGAGATGATTGTAGATTTCAGGAGAAACAAACAGGTCCAACCCTATTTCCATCATGGGAGAAGTAGTGGAGGTGGTGGAGAAGTATAAATACCTTGGGGTTCACCTGGACAACAGACTGGACTGGAAATGCAACAGTGAAGCGTCTATAAGAAGGGACAGAGCAGACTGTACTTCTTGAGGAAGACGAAGTCCTTCAATGTTTGCAGCAAGATGCTGCACATATTCTATAAGTCTGTTGTAGAGAGTGCTATCTCGTCTGCCATCATCTCTTGGGGTAGCAGCATCAGAGCAAGAGACTTAAAAAAAAGATCAACAAGCTCATAAAGAAAGCTGGCTCAGTTCTGGGGACTCCTCTAGTACCTTTGGAGATGATTGTACAAAGAAGGATTCTTCATAAAATGAAGAACATTACAGACAACCCCCAGCATCCTCTTCATCAGACTGTCATACAACAACAGAGTGTCTTCAGTCAGAGGCTTCTTCAGATTGTAGGACAGACCGCTACAAGAGATCCTTCCTGCCCATAGCCATTAGCATCTAGAACAACTCTTATGAAACCAGGATGATGAGTTACAATTCAATTCAATTCAGTTTATTTATATAGCGCCAAATCACAACAAAGTTGTCTCAGGGCACTTTACAGGAACACAACATATAATTTCCCTCTGGGATTAATAAAGTATTTTTGAATTGAATTTGAATTGAATTACAGATGATGAAAAAATAAAACTGCGTCTCAAGCAGAATATTGTGAAGAGGTTCAGGAGGTACCAGGTAAATTCCTGGTGTCTCAGCCTGATCTGCTGAGGAACTCCTGGACATTAAATGTCTCTGTCCTCAAGTCCAGACACTCCTGAACCAGAGACAACATCAGAAGTGTCTTACCTGCTGAGGACACAGAGAACTGGACTGTCTCTCAGTGGTCCAATGTCCTCTATTTACATGGAAGATTTATAAATCAAGGTCCCAGAGTCTGGAGAAAGACTGCAGACGTTCAGAATCCACAAAGTCCTGAGTGAAGTTTCCACAGTCAGGGATTGTTTGGGTCCATGTTCTCTGCTGTTTCTGGTCCACTGGGTTTAGTCCAGTCATTGATGGTTTGGGTCCATGTACTCTGCTAGTTCTGGTCCACTGGGTTTAGTCTACAGTCCATGCAGCATCTAGCAGGACATGTTATAGACTTCATGCTTCCTTCTGCTGAAGAGCTTTATGGAGATGTTGGTTTCATTTTCCAGTAGGACTCGGCACCGGACCACACTGACAAAAGGTACCAGAATCTGGTTCTGGAATATTCTAATCCTCTGAGATGCTGAGTTTTAGCTTTTCATTCTCTGTAAGTTATAACCACCAAAGTTACAAGAACAAAGTCTGAAATATTTCACTCTGTGTGATGAATTAATATAATATATGAGTTTCACTTTCTGAAATGACAAATGAAGTTTTTCCAGATCTTCTAACTGTTCTAGCTTCAGCTGTGTGTTCTGGGATACTACCATAATAAATTGCAGCTAAATATGTTTAGATATGGTTGAGATGGTCAATTTTTTTGTTAGCTTATCCAGCCATATTGATTTTTTTATTTGGATTGAGTATGTGTCGAGGATCGTTCACATCCACCACCAAACCTAATTTCAGCTCAACACATCCTAAAAAGGCTCAGAAGGAGCTAGAATGCTATTTTACTGCAGACTTGTGTAGAAGGACTTATATATATATACAGTATACCGTTTAAAATTTTGTAGTAGCGAAGTCTGGGCCTGAGCTGTATCCATCCATCCATTTTCTTCCGCTTATCCGGGGTCAGGTCGCGGAGGTAGCAGCTTAAGTAGGGAGGCCCAGACTTCCCTCTCCCCCAAAAAGGGGGTTTGGGGTCCCCCAAACCCCCTGTTTGAATAGGGGGATCACCACCCCAGTCAAAAATCCAGGGGAATTGCCCCTGATGTCCATACAATATTGCAGTCGTGTAAGCCAACACAACCCCACAACATCCATTGCCTTAAGGAACTCCCGGCGAATCTCATCCACCCCTGGGGCCTTGCCACCGAGGAGCTTTTTAACCACCTTGGTGACCTCAGCACCAGAGATTGGAGAGTCCAACCCAAAGTCCCCAGGCTCCGCTTCCTCAGTGGAAGATGTGCCGGTGGGATTGAGGAGGTCTTCGAAGTATTCTGCCCACAGACCCACGACATCCTGAGTTGAGGTCAGCAGCATACCACCTCCACTATAAAAAGTGTTGGTGGCATACCGCTTACCACCCCTGAGACGCCACATGGTGGACCAGAATCGCCTCGAAGCCGTGCGGAAGTCATTCTCCATGGCCTCTCTGAACTCCTCCCACGCCTGGGTTTTTGCCTCAGTGACCACCCAAGCCGCATGCCACTTGGACTGCTGGTACCCATCAGCTGCTTCCGGGGTCCCACAGGCCAAAAAGGCCTGATAGGACTCCCTCTTCAGCCTGACAGCATCCCACACCGCCTGTGTCCACCACTGGGTTCGAGGGTTGCCGCCGCGACAGACAACCTTGTGGCCACAGATCCGATAAGCCGCCTCGACAATAGAGGTGCGGAACATGGCCCACTCAGACCCAATGTCCCCCGCCCCCCCACCCCACCCCGGAACGTGTTCGTAGCTCTCTCGGAGGTGGGAGTTAAATCTCCGTCTCACGGGAGACTCTGCCAGACATTCCCAGCAGACCCTCACAATACGTTTGGGTCTGCCAGGTCTGACCGGCATCCTCTCCCACCATCGGATTCGACTCACCACCAGGTAGTGGTCAATGGACAGCTCCGCACCTCTCTTCACCCGAGTGCCCAAGACATGTGGCCGCAGATCAGATGAGACGACAACAAAATCAATCATCGAACTGTGGCCTAGGGTGTCCTAGTGCCAAGAGCACATATGGACACCCTTATGCTTGAACATGGTGTTTGTTATGGACAATCCATGACGAGCACAGAAGTCCAACGACAGCACAGCACTCAGGTTCAGATCAGGGGGGCCAACCTCCCAACCACACCCCTCCAGGTCTCACTGTCATTGCCCACGTGAGAGTTGAAGTCCCCCAGTAGAACAAGGGAGTCCCCAGGAGGTGCACTTTCCAGTACCCCCCTCTAAGGACTCCAAAAAGGGTGGGTAATCTGAGCTGCTGTTTGGCGCATAAGCACAAACAACAGTCAGAACCCGTCCCCCACACATAGGTGGAGGGAGTCTACCCTCTCGTTCACCGGGGTGAACCCCAACATACAGGCACCAAGATGTGGGGCAACAAGTATGCCCACTCCAGCTTTGCGCCTCTCGCCAGGGGCAACTCCAGAGTGGAAGAGTGTCCAACCCCTCTCAAGGAAGCTGGTTCCAGAGCCTGAGCCATGTGTTGAGGTGAGTCCGACTATTTCTAGCCGGAACCTCTCAACCTTTTCTGAATCTAAATGAAAATAAAACGGAAGTCATCAGCTTTGGTAAATGTAATACCCTTAATGTGCTTGGCCCCTTGGCTTCATACAGCCACTCCAATGTCAGGAATCTGGGAGTTATTTTTGATAGAGCTTTTAAATTTGACAAACAGATAAATACAGTTGTGAAATCCAGTTTCTTCCAGCTAAGACTCATTGCCAAGGTGAAGTCTTGTCTCCCTTTCAGAGACCTTGAAAAGGTGATTCACGCTTTTATTACATCTCGTTTGGACTACTGTAATTCATTGTATGTTGGTTTAGACAAATCATCTTTGCATAGTTTACAATCTGTCCAGAACGCAGCAGCTCGTCTTTTAACAGCAACTAAAAAATGTGAACACATAACCCCTGTCCTGGCTTCTCTCCACTGGCTTCCTGTCCACTTCCGAATTGATTTTAAGATTTTATTGCTTGTTTTTAAAGTCTTAAAAGGTCTGGCCCTGTCATATTTATGTGATCTCATTAACATTTACACTCCAGTAAGAGCACTCCGGTCTACCAACCAGTTCCTCTTAGATGTCCCCAGATCCAAACTGAAATCCAGAGGTGATCGGGCTTTTGCGGTTGCTGCTCCAAAACTGTGGAACAGTTTACGAATTTAAAGACCGCTCAGACTGTTGAGACTTTTAAATCTTTGCTTAAGACTCATCTGTATTCCTTGGCATTTCATCCACGCAGTCTGAGAACAAGTTGAGCTGATTTTATTGTTGTTATGTGTTGTTTTTATTGTCAACTTATGTTTTTGAGTGGCACTAGATGCATTTTTACTCTTTTTTTATTTTTTTTTTAATCTGTCTTAACTGTAAAGCACTTTGGTCAGCTTTTGTTGTTTTTATGTGCTATATAAAAAAATGACATTGACATTAACCTCACACACCAGCTCAGGCTCCTTCCCCACCAGAGAGGTAACATTCCACGTCCCAATAGCCAGCTTCTGTAGCCGAGGATCAAACCGTCAGGGTCCCCGCCCTCAGCCACCACCCATCCACACATTGCACCCAACCCCTTAGGCCACTCCCACAGGTGGTGAGCCCATGGGAACCTGAGCTGTATGCTAAATCAAAATTCATCAAATTTATATATCTATATATACGTTACAACATCCTGTTGTCTCCATGACCTGATAAGTGGTAGAAGATGGAGATTACACTCAACCACAGATTGAATTTAATCTGACATTGCACACTTCATGCAAGTACCCCTACCTGTCATCCTGGTTGCTCCTGGTGGCCAATTTTCGGGCCTGTCTGTCCATCAGGCTTGTTCTGGATCGTGTCTTCTTCCATGAATAATAATATTTCACCAAACTTGAGATGGATTTGTCTGGTAACTGAAAGAAACACATAGGCACTCTACATTTAGTGCCAATAAATAGAAAAGCAGACACATTTGTTGACTGACACTTTATTAGGGTTGTGTTGTGAAAAAGCTTGCTGGTTATTTTTGAGATTATTAGGGAATTACCCAAGAAAATAATTTGTGTGCAAGAATTCAAGAGGGGCTCTAATTATTTATCAAACATGTTCTGACACAATATATAATGGATGTTTTACATTCTAGAGTCTTATAACACAGAGGCTATATTACAAAAACAAAATTTAACGTATTGTGGATGCTCATCTTCTTTCACGTAGCTGCAGATAGTGTAACAACTTTATATCCAAACACATTGTTTAGCCCAACTGTCCCCAGTTTAGAGGTTTAGGGGCCATCCAGAACATTGTAGGATTAATCCAAGGAGTTTAGAATGTCTCAATGCTGGACAAGTTTTTCCTCCACCGTAAGTCATAACAAATACAAACGCATCCACACTCACTCCTGATTTTCTAACTCCTTCCTCCAATGCGTTCCCTGTCTGCACCATAACGTGCACACAGTCTCGGAAGATGGGTGACTTGAGTTATCCGACTCTTTCATGGCTACACTTGATGAAAAAAACATTTTGGTGTCGCCCGTTAATGAAAAAGTGTTAAAAAGTGATGTTTCCTGCAGAGGCAAATCTAGGTTTAAATGTGAACAGAGAAATGTTGATAAAAGCACTGAAAAGTGACTCGTCTCTAACTTTCTGCTTCTCTTCTGTTGTGACCACAGAAAAATCTGATGTTCCTGTCCAATATTTCGTAGAAAATGGCATTCTGATGAAACACTAGTCCCCAGATTCAGGTGATGTCCACAGTGTTAATCAGGTGGTGGCGCCAAAAGAATACAGAGAACAAGTTCTCAGTCTGGTACATGATTCCAGCTTATCTGGACATGTTGGTGTAAATGAAACATACCACTGCATATTAAAAAACTTTTTCTGTCTGAAATTAAAATCAGATGTCAAATATTGTCATTCCTGTCACACATGCCAAGTAAAGGGGGAAGCCAAACCAAACAATACAACCTGCACCTCTGCAACCCATACATGCACTTGGAGACCCATTTGAACATGTTCTGCTAGACTGTGTGGGCCCATAGCAAAAAACAAAATCTGGAAATCAATATATTTTAATGTTAGGGTTAGTGTGCCGCAACTCGTTTCCCAGAAGCCATTCCATTACGTACTTTTTTTTTTTTTTTTTTTAGATGGCCTCCCTTCTCTCCTTTCAGCCATCCTCTCCACACCATTATTATGAAATATTTATTCTAGTGATTATCTAGTGTAGGTTTTTTTTTTTTTTTTTTTAATAGGATGGAAAGAAAGAAAAGACAAAGTAAGACTCCAAAATATAAGAAATATACACAAAGAGAGCACACGGCAAAACACCCGGCCACTGTCCATTCACCTGCAAAGAACATGACAAAACACAGCAACAAAATACATATGTATAAAGAACTTAAAATATTCATGGCTTTGCAGTAATTTTCCATAAATATATATACCCATACCTACGCCTATATACATACATACATACATAAACATGAATATACATTCATATACATATCTATATATCTACATATAAAGCCTACATAAGCATCCCTGCATCTATTTGTGTGTGGTTGTGAGCATGCATAAGTGTATAAGGCTTCTCTAATAGAACATTTAATAGTAACCGTGAAGCAGCAGAGACCCGACCCCCAAGGCCAGAGGCAGACAAAAAAAAGGGGGACCAGAGCCCAAGACCCCAGGAGGGACCCCGACCGCGGAGGCCCCAGGGCCACCCACACAGGACGAACCACTCACCCACCCCCCAGATCGGACCACAGGGGAGAACCAGAAGATCCCCACCAGCGACCACATACAGTGACCCCCCAGGGCCAACAGCGACAAACTCACAGGCCCCCGCCGCACCGATGCAGGTCCAGGCCCGGGCACCGAGGACTCACACCACCCAGGCCAAGGCCTGACAGGGCCAGAGGACCTGAGCCCCACCAGGCAGACACCAGGCCGAGCCGACACACACCCAAGCACCCAGCCCCCGACACCAAGGGCCCCAAGCGCACCGGCAGGCAAGGGCACAACCCACCAGGGGGCCGCGGGATAGGGGCGCAATGCCAAGCACCCCCAGTTGTATCAAAGAGGGGGCAGTCCGAGTCTCGGCCTAACAAATACCCATTCATACACAGACACAATCACACAGTCCCAGCCTCTTTCTCACACTCACTCAAAGACTTACAATAACGATACATTTCATTCTTATTCCCGATACGCACTCTATACCCCCCAGGGCCAAGACATGTACCCGCCCTCTACAGGGGGCAGCCCATGCCCAAACCCAGGAGGTAGACCCATTCATTCTCGAGCGGAGAGAAGCCAATATCCCAGACCCGGCCCAGGCCACGCCCAGCCGACAGGACACCCCCCGGCACGAAGAGGTCACGCCACCGACCACCCCCACACACCACCAACAACCAAGCACGCGCCCCCAGCCGACCGCCCGCCAGGCCCCGGCAGCCACCCCGGCCAGCGGGCCAACCATGGCACCCAAGAGCCAAGCTCAGGGGGTCCAAACAACCCCAGGGAGAAGACAGTGCCAGTACCGCCCACGGCAATCCCCCAGACCCCGAACCCCCACATAGTCCTGGTCAACACCCGACGGCCTGCCCTTCTCCCCACCCCCGGAATGGCAGTTAGGGAACTAGGGGGGTGAGGAAAAAAAAAAAAAAAAGAAGAAGACCCCGACACATACACCCCCGCCCCTAGATGTGCTGTTGATGTGTGTTGTTGTATAGTGCCATTAAAAAGGAAAGAAGAAAGGCTGGCATGATGCCAGTTTCCCCTTCACCCAAACTCTATCCAAATCATAGTGTCTAAATGCAACCGTTGTAAGTGAGCACAGGCACAGGGGGCGAGAGTAAAGACATCCCACCACCCATAGCCATGTGCCCACCTCAAGTTCCTATATGTGAATGTCATGAGGATGTTATGAATGAATGTCTAAGGTGTACAATAAAATTGAGTCCCAGGTGGCTATGGTCAACAGAGATGTAAAATTGTTGCAGCACACCCGAGCCCAAACAACCCTAAATGTGTGGAATTGAAATGAAGAGGGTGGAGGTGCATGGTGAGGGATGGGGAGAAATATAACTGTGAGAGCAAATGCTCCCACAGGGAGTCAGCTCCCCCACTGACCCAACAGGCCCCCCCAGTTCCCCAAGGTCCACCCAGGGATTGAGACCAAGACACCTCTCCATCTGGACTGACTGCCAGGCCCGCTGAGCTCCAGACCAGAGGGGGAAAGAACCCCTAGAGCCGCCAGAAGCAGTACCAGCGGCCCACACACCCGAGGGCCGCCAAGACCCCCACAAACCGCAGTCAGCCCGCCACCAGATGAAGCCAAACCCCACCAGGACGACCCGGACAAGAGCACCCGCCCAACCAAAGACAGAGCCAGGAAGCACCGGGAGCGAGCCCCCACCACAGGCAAGGGGCCAGCCAGTCGGCCATGCACAGTCCCGGGCCGCCCCCAAGGACATCCACCCAGTCCCCACCCCAGAAGAAATACTACACCCACCCCTCATTCGGACATTCTTCTTCTCACTTTTAAAGCTATCCACAACCTTTCCCCTCCGTACCTATCTGACCTCCTACACATCTTCATCCCCTCTCGCTCTCTCAGATCCTCCTCTTCACTACACCTCCATGTACCCTCTGCCCGCCTCTCAACCATGGGGAGCAGGGCCTTCACCTGCTCTGCCCCTCATCTCTGGAACTCTCTACCCCCTGACAAGAAACACCACCTCTCTTTCTATATTCAAAACTGCTCTGAAAACACATCTCTTTAGACTCGCTTATCCTTAACTCTGCTGTATGTATTTTATATTCTTTACGCATTTTATATTCTGTATGTATTGTATATTCTTTACGCATTTTATATTCTGTATTTTATATTCTTTATGTATTTTATATTCTTTATGTATTTTATATTCTTTATTCCTGTTGATCTTTGTTCTTACTGTAAAGTGTCCTTGGGTGTCATGAAAGGCGCTTTTTAAATAAAATGATTATTATTATTATTATTATCTCTCAAAACACATAGCACACTAGACACCTAGGCTGGGTCAAACTACCCCCTCTTAGGGGCCACTGGTCACGCCCCCAAACACCCAATCCCCCAGCCCATGACCCCACAACCCACCAGCGAGCCGAAGGCCCCTGCCCAGAACCGGGCACCAGAGTGCAAGCCGGCCCAGAGCCCGGCAACCCGCCCACCAGAGCCCAAGATCCCCGATCCCCACAGGCCCAAGCCCGGGGGCGACGAGCCCCCAGAACCCCAAGCGCCCGCACAGCCAGGCTACCAGATCGGTGACCCATGACCGCCGCCACAGACCACCTGAGGGCCCGCATGCAGCCACCAGTAGACATCCCCCAGAACCACCAAGGCCCTCCTCAGGGGGAAAGCAGTGCCCCCCTGCCCAGGTACCCCCCAGAGCCCAGCCCCCCGCCCCCCCCCCGGCGCCCCAAACCCATACACCCACCTCCACATCAACCCCAAGGCACCACAAGGTCAGATCCCAGACTACCCACCCTCACTATGTAACGGAGCCGATCAAAGGAGCCCAGAGAGATTGATCCAATGTGTCGGCAGATGCTGTTTCAAGACTAATATGATCTAACAGAAGATTTTTATACTGATTAATGCTAAGATTATTTTTATTTTTCCAATTCAGGAGTATGGTTTTCTTTGTAATGCATAAGGCAGTGAAAATCATGCGACATGTATTTTTTTCCAGGGTAACATCTTCCAAGATAGCCAATAAGCAAACAGACGGAGAGAGTGGAATATTACATTTCAGACATTTAGACAAGTCTTCACAAACCTGGACCCAGAACCTCTGAACGGGTAGGCAGAACCAGAGTGCATGGATATAATCATCAGGAATATTCAAAAAAAGTTCAATCTGGTC